CAATTTTTATCACATTTTATTTATTTTATTTTATATAGGGATGAGCAGACTATATAAAATCATTTTGAAAAGTTGCACTGTAAGATCATTTATATAGCTTAGGATTATTATTTGACATATAAATGCAGACGTATTGTTGAAATATTTAAGGATTTGATGCTATTGCAAACTATCATGGGTGAGTGGGAATTCAGAAAAAAAAGCATATCTTCAAGAATCTATTTGTGTCGGACCACCAATTGAAATTCAAACAAACAATCATATATGAAGTCGAAAGGATCACCAACGTTCAGTGAAAATTGCCAATTAGTTCATATTTTCCACAATTTATACGTATTTAACACTTCTAATACTAATCCTTAGATCCCAATCAAGTTGTATAAATAATGATGGAGCAATTTTAACGCACTACGTTTGTCGACATTACGTTTTATGACATAAGTACTTACCTCAAAGGCATCGCTTGGTGTGACAGTCTGTAAAATAAACTTGACGACAATGGGTAAATCATCTATATCAGCGGAGGACAGCATTTGTAATACAGATAGTCTCACCTATAGATATAGTACACAAGATTTCAATCTCTTGAAATGCAGAAACTACATGTAAACCATCACAGGTCAAATATAAAAATATGTGAGTTGATTTGACTTAAAGTAATTGACAAATATGTAAAATAATCTGTAAAACAGACTGACAACTGTCAGTTTACTATAATCAAGGATTAATTAGATAAAGATGTGCAGCTTAAATAACCATGTAGATCTCACAAGATTCAAACTCTCATGCTTCGTAAACATTTGAAATCAAACCCATTTCGTGCGTATGAATCAATCAAACATATTTCTAACACAATGCCGCATTGAAAAACGTAAAACTTGCATATATTTGCAAATTTTGGATCACTACAAAAAACAACTGAGTTGAACACTTATCAGTTCTTTCACAGACTCACTAATCTGTAATTTCTGGAAATTATCCTTTTGATTATCTGGCAACTCCAGTGACTTTAATTAAGCTCTTTATTGCATATCCCATCTTGCATATTCTAATCTTATAAATCCTTGTTTTATATATTGGCAAGTTACTCAGACCATGTTTACTTGATTCTATTTTCATAAATATAAGAATAAGATGAGTACTCTAGGTACATACACTGTAATTTACAATCAGACAACAATGATAACATTACCTCAGCTATGAGTTCATTTTGTAGATTCAAGTTAGCTAATGCATCTAGGATAGGAACAGTCAGCTGACTACTGTGTTGTAATAACTCCCTGTATGGAAAAAACATACAAACATACAAGTACGAGTTAAAGTGTTATTCAGCAAAATGTAATTTACTCATATGTGAAGAAGGTTGGAGGTAGGGTTTAATTCTTTTCTTAATGAGAAATACATTGTACATCTAGATACAAGCAGGCTTTTATCCAGCCACCTGTCTATTTGTCATTTTAGACAGGTATATTTCATTTGATAGTCAAAATTTCCACAAACATGTCCAGTTTCGACTGCAAAATTACCAGAATATTACAAAATAATTAACAACAAATTGATTGTAAGTCTGTGGTTACAGACTCGTACTGCTTTCATTTTGATACAGTTTTTATAAAGGCAGTT